TGCAAAGAAGCATAAAAATGGATTCAGGTGCCGTCCCCGCTCCCCACCCTGCTGCTCTTAATAAATGTGTCATATGACTTACGCTGTCCCTCCTTAAGATCTTCCAACTCAGTGTTTATTCACAAAAGCTGGCACAACGGAGACCACTTTCCCCCAGCAATTTCTCCAGAATTAGTATATGGAGGGCAAACCGACAAATGCAAACAGGCAGCCCTCCCAGAAACAACAGTGGTACCTTGGCTCACGAACGCCTCAGTTCATGACCAAATCGGGTCGCAAACAAAAATTTCATAAAAAATTTGATTCGGGCCACAAACTCCACATTGTGTGGCGGTCGTCTCCCCACCCCCGAGTGGGGAGGTGGCTGCAACCATGCTGGGGTTTGTGTGGGGAGATGGCCGAGATCGCGGCCGTCTTTCCTGCACGAGTGCAGCCGTGATTCCGCCCGTCTTTCCTGCACGAGAGCAACTGTGATCTCAGCCATTTCCGCCCCCAGCACGATTTTGCCCATCTCCGCCCCAGTGTGCCCGCGATCACACCCATCTCTCCCCCCCCAGCGTGCCGGGATGACAGGCGCAATTATAGTTGTGCTGGGGGAGGCCAGGGAGATGGCTACGCTAGTGCTCAGGGTGGGGGGGGGGGCAGCTATGGCTGTGATCTTTGTTGTTCTTTGTCACTTTGCTTCACGTTTTTCTGATTAAAAAAAAAAAGAGTTACAGAACGGATTAACCTTATTTACATTGAACCTTATGGGGAAATTTGACTTGGGTCACGACCAGATTCCTGGAATGGATTAAGTTTGTGAGCCAAGGTACCACTGTATTTGGTTTTACCATGGGGGCCATTATAAGCCCCAAGAGGGAATAGAATAGAATAGTAAAATAAAGAGCAAGTCCACTTTAAAAACAGAGGTTCAATAGCTGGCTATGAAGAATTAGAATTAGGAATCAGAGAGAAAACTAGCAAAGCTGAATATGGGCTGGAGTAAACTACCTGAGGGGGGTGAGGAGGGAGGGAGAGAGAGAGAGATGAAAGAGGTCAGTGAAAAAGATGCAGCACAAGACTGAAACAGAGCAGCTGAGGGCTACTTCACATCCACCCTACAAGGAACCACAAGCAGTTTTAGCTTGTTCATGTAGGATTAAACTTTGTCAACATAGGGAGTAGAATAAACAGAAGGGCTGCAAAATGTAACAAACACCCCACTACCACTCCTCCTCCAGAATTATGTATCTAGAGTCTAGGAACCAGGAAATGGCTATTTTATTCTCTGACAAATTGTGGTTCCCATGTTCCTAAATTAGTTAAGGGAACACTGGGGAGGCACAGGCCCATGGTAAGCATTTCTGCTGACTTCCTTTATAGAAATTAGAAAGTGTATTATCCTTTTCTTGTCCTTATTTTGTAAATACTCAGATGAGGAACTGTATTCATTGCTGAATTCTAGGTTCGTACTTTATTAAAAAGCAAAAGTGTAAATTTCACTTCCAATTTTCCCCCTTATTGTGCAAAATAATTTTGCAAGAAGTGCAGATTTTAGAAAATAACCCAAACCCTCTTGTGGACATAGAATTACCTATCACTCAAGAAAGAAATCTTTCAGATAAATAAAACAATAACACTGGCATAGTGTCTAATGAAATTAAGAAAAGGGCTTGTAGAAATATTTGAAAACAGCACAAGAGATGTACATTTCTCAATATGCCTTTTTGGAGTGTTCACATCCAGAGGTCTGTAAGAAGTCTTAGTGCAGGCAATCCCTACCTTCACCCACCTAGGCGGGTAAAGGCTTTACCAATGTAAAGGCTACAGATCCATCTGATAGAACACAGGGGAAATACATGGCCATCATTGGTTGGGGGCCATCAATAGCCTTATTCCCCATAAATTTCCCTACTCTCCCTATAAGGCCGTCCAAGCTGGTGGCTATCACTCCATCTTGGCCTAAGTTTATGAGCTGTGGAAAATTTAAAAGCATGGCTGTGAATCCATGAAATGCCAGCCTAATCATGTCATGTCACGTCTACAGCATGTATGCCGCAGTATAAATTATGCATAATACACATATTCCAAGACAAAGTTCGGATGTATGCCATTGGGTGTACATCTGGAATTACCCTCTGAACAACAGAGAGGCATTAAAAATTCTTCCCTCTTTGATCTGTAAATTACTTCTGTTTAACACAGGTGTGCTGATGTCTACATGTCCACCACACCACTGAAGTTTTCCTTCCGTCTCCATAGGAACCACGCAGTAACAATCACTATTACTGCAACCACATGACTGTCAGAAAATAGACTTCTACTGGGTCTTTCTAACTTCTGCATGAAAACTTATCTCTGCTTCCTAAAAACTGACAGCAAGAGTCCTCTCTTCTTTGCTTTTCTGAAACTGCCCCAGAAATTGCAGCAGATGCCTTGGAATGTAAGCCCCGCTCTCTCTCTTGGACAACATCCAAGTCCCTTTTGAATACGCAACCCAGAGCTCTTGTTGATTGTTATTGCCTTCTGCAAAACTTGAATGGATTCAAGCTGCTTGCTCAGAAAGAAAGACCTCTGTCTTGTCACCTTTAGCCCCACTCTTCCTCCCCTGCCAGAACTTCCGTCTAGTGATGTTTTTCACATAAGTGCTCAGTAGGGCTGTTGATGCAGCAAGCCCCTTTCCTAGTATTAGTGATGCAATTACAGCAGTGAACACTTTTACAAATATGGAAAGATTGGCTTGCATGCACGGGGCACCTCAACTCCGTTCCCCCACCAAGAAAAGCTTCCTCTTGTTCTAAGTGAGGAATCGCTATTGCGTAAGGACAGGGGCCAGGCTGAGCACTTTCCAGGCACGGCGCAGCAACAGACAAGCTTTATCCTGTGATGCAATGAACCATCTAAAAGTACATTATGTTTAGATAATGAAGACATATTTTACAAAGGCATGCTCATCTCTGGTTTTCTCTGATGAAGAACCTGCCCAATTCGTTGACACACCACTCTTCTGCTGCCATCATTAATATTATGACTAAGTTGTGCCTGTTTTCTACTCCAAGTTCTGCCTGACGTTCATTCCTAGCACTTGATTTTCATTATATCTTTCTCCCTAAAGTGCAGCTTTTAATTTAGTAATCTTATTTGCAACAGACCAAGCTCTTTAATTAAAGAACCTGTACATCTGGGGAGGGGGAGAATCTGGTAGTTTTCACAGAATTCCTGTGATGTCCTGATAGTAGTCCAATGCACTAGAACCCGACAGTTCTCATGACCTAGAGAGACCTCAGATCTTTCCCCCTTGGGTGACCCTTTTTCCTTCCAACACTGTTGCAATGTCAGGAATTTCCATCACCCTCTTTGCCCTTGTTTGCATTGTTAGGCTTTGGAAACAAACATTCCATTATAGAAAGAGCCAATAGTTTTGCCGATTAAGTTGTATTTGTGGAACTGTACAGCTCCACTTGGTGAATTGGTTGTCTTTTTTTAATACTCAGTTTAGAGCTAAAAAAATTAAAAAAGAGCCACTGAAAAGCAGCACATAATTTATAAGATAAACATGGATGAAAGGGCTGACCTGGTATGTATTAAGATGATCTGGCTGTTTGACAGAGCAAAATCCATTTTGTTCCATCTGCTTCCAGGTAGGTACATCATACAGGTGAAATTTACTACAGAAACTGGCTTCCTGTAGTTCAGAAGGACACCATCCCCCTTGTTAGCTGGCCAGTCCCTGCAGTCCAGTTCTAAGCGCGCCATTTGGAAACTTTGCTACTGAGCCATTTGGAAACTGTAGGGATTTTGTTGACATACCCATCACTCTGCTACCTAACCATCTCCTTGACCAAGCAGTCAGAGGTGGTCTCAGATATGGTCATGGACCATTCTTAACTGGTGGAAGCCCAGGATTCTTATGGCCGCCCTTAGTCTGTCCCAGAATGTATTAGCCTCAGTGCTTGTGCCAGGGAAAACATTGGCTCAAGCTTTCTTGCAGAGGCGAGGGGAGAGGGTATTTATTTATTTATTGCTTTCTTTTCCTTTGTCAGGGACTATCAGACTCAAGTCATTTAGTGCATTCCTTTCCCCCTGGCATCTCGTTTCCCTTCTGCATCGTGTCTTTTTAATAGCATAGGCCTGACAGCAAGGATTGTCTTGTTTATATTAATCTGTAAGCTGTCCTGGGCTTTCCAGCTGAAGGGAAGGTTATAAATGCTGTAAACAACCCAGCTCTGCAAGGGGTATGTAGCTAGTGGTAATGGCCTGTCCCTGAATGCTAATGGATCTGGATGTTTCCTAGATGGCTTCAACTGAGCACCCTGAAAACCCCACCAGCTGTCCTGCTGAAGCCTCATAGATTCCCAGAAGAGAGAGCTAACTCAGGCAATCACCTCTCCATCTAGTTAGGAACAAAATTTCTTCCAGGTTTTCTAGGACAATGTTAGCCATCATTTGGGGTACTCTGTGAAATGTCTCTTTTGTCCCAAGTCTTCCTCCATGTATTCTCACCCCACAAAATCCACTGTACACCATCTGTGATCATTGTCTGTGGCATGAAGTTAGACCTACAGGAGGCAACAGCTCCATGAATGGGGCAAAAATGAAATTAACAAGCATCAACTAGACAGGATATATGCTTGAGCAAAGCTCTCTTACTTCCTTTCTTAGTGAGCTACAGGAACTAGCATATGACACATCTAAGCAGAGTTGTTTGTTTTTTTATCTCTCCCTGTCATTACAGTTTTCTATATTCAAAGAACTCAAAAAAAACAGAGGAACATTTATGTGAGCTCCTAAAGTGCTGAGAAGTAGACCTATCACTTTGTCCCATACATGCATTAACAACATCCTCCTTCTGCAACTTTCAGCTGATGAAAGCTAGTTCTTTTTTAACATATTGGCGAACCTTTGCTGGGTTGGGTTGGACTGCAAGCAGTACATTGATTCAAATGATAAACTGATTAATTCATGGGTCCTAGCAACTATCTAAACGCAATTTTAGGAAGAAAGGAAGGAAGGTTCACCAGTAGTCGTCTGCAGTAGCCAATCTTTCTGCTCCCATCAACGTTGGTGAGGACAAAGGAAAATGTTTCACTGTAAAATAAAATGCAGAATAAAAGCCTTGGAGTTTGAGCAATCTGCTGAAAATCCAATGAGAAAAACAAACCAAAAATGTAAAGCAGGGCGGCTGAAATGAAATAAGGGAATGCTGTTCAGGGCACGAACAGAGTGAGCTGTTTCAGGACACAGCTGACTCTGTCATCTTTTTTGGGTTAAGAGGTCTCTCTTTTCTGAGGCTTTTAAAGACTTACTTGGCCCAGGGACTTGAGGAAGGTCACCAGGTGAGTTGCTTTTTGGTTATCCCTTGGCATCATTTTTATCATCTGCTTTTTTGAAGTTTTAATGCTTTTTTCTGATTTTATGATATTTTAAATGCACTTTTTCCATATATTTTATGGACTGTGTAAATGCCCCAGAGAGCTTTGGCTGTCGAGTGGTATAGAAGTAAATAAATAGGATACTGCAAAAACAAAGCAGATGTCTTAGACCATCTTCACTGTATAATTACTATTTCACTTCAGCCCTTTGCAAAATAGCATTATACATACATTTTTTAAAACCAGGCTGGGCCAATTGTGGCCCTCTACATGCTTTGGCCTACAAGTCCAATCAGCCCTAGATGGTATAGCTGATGTTGAGGGACCATTGGAGTTGTAAGCACAAACATCTGAAGTTTTTCATCTCTGACCAAAATGTTGGCACAGCTTTGCCCAGTCTGGTTCCCTCTAGATGTCCTGGGTTGTCTAGATGCTCTAGCTGGCAAAGTTGAGGCTTGGCACATCTGGAAGGAACCCACATGGGAAAGGCTAACAGTTGCTGGCTAAACTAGAACCAGGACATCAACGCATTTTTCTTGACTGGAATAAAGTCCAAGGAACATGAGCTGGCACTTTTTGAATAATTCCAAAAGGAAAGTTCTGCCTGAAATGTTGCTGGGGAAAGCACTGAGGTGTCATCTTTTGCTTTTCTGCTGTTGTTGTTGTTAGTCACGAAGTCATGTCCGACCCATCATGACCCCATAGACAACACTCCTCCAGGCCTTCCTGTCCTCCACCATCTCCCAGAGTCCACCTAAGCTCACACCAACTGCCTCAGTGACTCCATCCAGCCACCTCATCCTCTGCCGTCCCCTTCTTCTTTTGCCATCTATTGTTCCCAGCATTAGACTCTCCTCCAGTGAGTCCTTCCTTCTCATTAGGTGGCCAAAGTATTTGAGTTTCATCTTCAGTATCTGGCCTTCTAAAGAGCAGTCAGGGTTGATCTCCTCTAGGACTGACCGGTTTGATCATCTTGCAGTCCAAGGGACTCGCAGGAGTCTCCTCCAGCACCACAATTCAAAGGCCTCAATCCTTTTGCGCTCAGCCTTCCTTATGGTCCAGCTTCCGTTCTAGTATTTCCTATTAGGACATGCTATTTTCTCTATGTCATTAGTTCCTTGAGACCTTATAGTCACCAAACAATCACCTCTTATATTCTGTGAGTGGTGCCCAGTTATCGCCATCTGGAAAACAGAACAGGGGAATGGCTTGCAGCAACCTCTCCTCCTCTTCACGCTGCCCCCTCATCAGATTCTCACACTGAAACAAGAAACAAAGAGAAAGATGAAAGGGACTACTTCTTTACCATTCATTCAGCCCAGATGAAACACATGCCTGGGCTTGTTAGAGATACACAAGTGATCCTTCACACAGGAGACTAAACGCTGCTTCTGAGGTTTTGCATCTTGTGTATTGCATGCCTCTTCTATGTACAGCCACCCTTGGGATATTTCCATGCATCGTGCAAAATTCAGGGTCACACACATCTGTTGTTATGAAATGGAAATAAGAAAACATCCATTCAGAGTAGCTGTTCACAACATCATTAATAAGTGGGGACTTGGGGTATTGGGGGTTTGTCTATACTAGAGTAAAGGAAAGGAGCTTTATTCCTCCAAAAGATCAGGTTTTCACTTTGGGAGGCTCTGTAGGTTCAGTTTGTAGCTCACTTCCGTGGTCTGGCTGTTAGTGAGTGGTGTGCCTCTCCCCACTTGACTTCATGGACTTGTTGGGAGGAGAAAATGTAGGGGAAGGAACCATACATTATTAGTGCTGCAAACTGCTCTATGTGCTCTTTTGGAAGAAGGGCAAGGTATAAGGTTTTAAAGACATACACATAGCCATTTGCTCCATGGAGAAAAACTGGGCTTATAGAATCAAATTATTACAGAATTTTAGAGTTGGAAGAGACCTTGGGGGTTACTGGGTCCAGCTTCAGGAATCAACTGCAGAATCCCTGATAGAGATTCCAGAAATAAAGATTGCTTTTAAGCTTTGTCTTCTCTCTGGAAGATATAAGCTTTATGTTGCAGTTCTGTACTGATTTACTTGGCAGTAAACACTGAGAAACTCAGTGGAACTTGCTTTTGTGGAGATGTGGGTTGGACCACACTGTGAAACTGATTAGGTGATGAATGACATTGGTCAATGCAAGCTGTCTGTTGCCCTCCGGAAGTTTTAAATGTTGTTGTTGTTACATACCATCAAATTGTTTCCAATTTATGGTGAGCATATGAATGAGTGTCCTCCAGAATGTCATGTCCTTGACAGCCCTGCTCAGCTTCTGCAAACTCAAGGCTATGACTTCCTTTATGGAACTGATGCATCCCACATCTGGCCTTCCCCTCTTCTGCCTTTGCCATTCCCTAGCATTATTGTCTACGGATATGGGAGATCCAAGTTCTAGTCTCCACTGAGCCATGAAACTCACTGGATGACGTTGGTCCATTCATGGACTCCTACCCTAAGTACCTCTCAGTACCTTTTCATGCTTTGGGGAGCATAAAAAAGTGGATTGCAGGAGAACTAGGTAAGCTGCCTTGGGTTTCTCGCAAGAGGAAAAAAGTTGGGATACAAATGAAATGTAGTCAGAATAACAGCAACAGCTACTGACCTCAGTTATGTGTGGATAATCATTGCATTGCTGAGAAGATAGCTAGGCAGTGGTGTAGTGGAACCGGGCCCCACAGGGCGCTTCAGCAACAAAGCTTTTAGCCTGCCACTTTAACAAGGCTTCTGCTTCCAATGTTTCCATGTTCAAAGGCTGGCTGGACTGGCAGCTGAATAATTCTTTCATGCTGACCATAGGACTGCATCCTTGCCTGAAGGGAGCAAGCTAGTTTTGGGGGCACAAGGCAGGGTGCATGGCACACAGCTCCCTCTTCTAACACAGTGCTACCACATCCCAGCCTCCGCCAGCTGAAGCAGCTGCTGCGGTTTGTCCAATGGTAGGGCTGGCCTGGCAGGAGCAGAAAACCATTTTTGACCATCTCGGTAAATATCTCTTGAGCAAGGCTGCACTTCAGTGCAGGATTTTCAGGCCACTGCTCCCTAGACAACTGTCAATTTCTGGCTAGAACAGAGGGCTGCACACATTAAATTGATTGACCTGTATCCTGTAATAAGCAGTGATTAATATCTCAACATTGTCTACATCTCCACATAGATGCAAAATAGACCTTTCTCTCCCTAATATGAAGCATTTCTGCAGTTTCCTGTTACAGCAAAGATTGGGCTGTGAACAATTATACCAAGACAAAATGAAACTGATTCAGTATGAAGTGAAGTGAAGCCACAAAAGAACGTGGTTTGGTTTCATTTTGTTTTTACAACTATGCTGAGCCAGATGATCACAGTGAGGGATAGCAAGTCTTTTTCTAAGTTCTCTGTGCAAAGTTCAGCAGAAGCTGTTTCCAGTATGCTCAGAACTTTTTGTAAATCAAACTGGATTACTTGGGTGAAATAAAACCCTAGGGTTCCTAGTGCTTCCAATGTAGTATTCTATCATTTTCTCCTTAAATGGATTTTGGATTTTTAAATCCATTTTGGATTTTCCACAGCAGGGAAAAAGACAGTGTAGTGTGCAAATACAGGAGGGTTATGCATGGAAGACAGTGTTGTCTGGACCCTCCTGCCTGACATTCCAACAATTAGGCACAGCTATTGCATGATAAAGAATTCATCTAGAACAAGGGTCTCAAACCCAACTTACCTGGGCGCCGCTGGAAATAGGGTCTAGGTGAGGCTGGGCTGCATCAAGTATTCCACCACCGCGGTGGGGGTGGGCCGCTCATCCCGCGGCCAGCCTGGGCACCACCGGCGCTTTGAAGGCCGCAGGGCCCCTCCCCCGTGCCCCACCCGTCCCAGCAATTGGCCCGCGGGCCGCGAGTTTGAGACCCCTGGTCTAGAAGCATCAGAGGTCAACATGAAATTCAGAGTTGAAAGCAGGGGTTTTGTTGAGCCAATGGTCTCATTCTTGCCCAGGCAGCAAGCCTATATTTGAGCGATGCCACCTTGGACATGACAAAACACTCCTTCATACAAAAATAAATAAATGCATCCCTCCCCAGGGAAAATGAGCTTGTCAGGAAGGTGAGTCTCGAACTGCATCTGGAGATGCACTCAATGCATAGCAGACGCCACTTGCAGGTCAAAGGCGTACAGCCCAAACACAGGAACATGGAAAGCTTGCCTTATCCTGAGACCATCAGTCTGCCGAGGCCTGTATTGTCAACACTGCTTGGCAGCAACTGTTTCAAACAGGGTTTCTTTCCTAGCCCTACCTGGAGATGCCAGGATCAAACCTGCATCCTCCCATGTGCAATGCAGGTGTTTTTCTATGGAGCCTCTCCTAGGTCTACTACCTCAGTGAGAGCTATTCGTAAGTCCGAAGGAGGGGAAGGGAGAAGTGCTGATGCAGTTACAGTGCTTCAAAGTCTCATCATCCCACTCCAGTCATGACTAGAGGTAGGAAGAGATTCACCTGTAGCAGTACGAAGGCCTGGCACATCTGGGACCAGGGCCCAGCACGAGAAGGGCAAACATGCCTGCTGGCTTGGGGCTCAGAAATGGAGCCCCAGTGCTTGTGGACACTCCTGTTTTAACTGTATCAAAGGCAGCGGGGAAAGTTCAAGCCCTAAGGAGATCTGCTTGCCCCTGCAGAGCTCTGAATACCTTGCATGCATGCATGCAGCACACTAACTAAATATTACCATCTTCACAAAGACAAAAAGGGATTCTTCACTTTCAGATGCTGGGCACCTTTCATTAGGAGCAGTGGACTCATCCCCATCGGCAGCCCCTCTCCTGCTTTCGTCCTTGCCAAGGGAGCTTCTTTCTCCAGCTTTAACAGATACAGGGAAGAGATATATGAAGTGGGACAGTGGGGAACATTTCAAAGGAGCATCGGCTTTTGTAGGCAGGATTTTTCTGCTGCTCTAAAGATAAAAGGATTCCACTAAAGTTTCATAGATTGCATCTTAATGACAGGGGAAACTGTGGAGCTGAGGAGGAAGGCAGGCAAAGATATTTTAAGAGCCACGGGATCCATATCAGCATTTTTTTCAGGTCTGTTTCCCTCCTCCACATTTCCTGAGAAAGACTGGGGCTACCAGAGTGCAAAAGTGGTTCAGCAGCCATTTTCGGGTGTCTTACTGAAAAGGATGTCTCCTGCTCTATTACCAACCTGAGTGAGTTTGTACACATGCAGTTGTACAGAACAAGTGAGCTTAATTCAGATCTCGAAACAAACCCATGTAAGTTGGAGCAGAGCCTGCCACTGCGAGGGCAACCAATTGCCAGGTCGGGCAGCCACTTATGAGTCACCTGAAAGAGGACAAAAGATGACAGGGACTGGCCTCAGGCAGCCCCTGCTTAGGTCAGTCTCTGCCCATCCTTGCTCTGGCCTCTTCATCTGACCAGACAACCATGCTTCAAATTCTTACCTTTGGAAACTGATAGGTAATCTTTGGCTCATAATCTCCATTAGAGTTCTTCTTAATCGCCACCACAACTAAATACTCAAAGAACAAGTGTCCTGCAGAGGAAGGGAAGCTGCTTCTCTCGGGTGGCTTCCCTCTGACTGGGAGTTTGGTTTCTGTAGCAGGTGCATGGCGGTATTCATCTGTAACACAAAATTGTATTGACACACGTGATGACACAGGCATGCAAAATAGGCCTTCCAGCAGGATTTGAAGAGTACAGGACCACAAACTCCCCCCCAACCTCCTCCCCGCCCCCAAAATCCATTATAAGTCAGCCTTCCTAGACTTCAACTCCAGCAACTCCTAGCTGCCATAGCCAATAGCAATTATGGGAGTTGTATTCCACACTTTTGGAAGGCAAGAGGTTGAGGTAGCCTTCCCTAAATGCAGCAGTTCACAGTTCCAAAAACAAATGCCTCAAAGGCAATGAATATAAGTCCAAATCAATTGCACAACTCTTCAGAATGTATCCTTTGGAGTGTGTGGACATTCTCCTTGTTCTCCATGTCTGGGGAAGTGGGACGTTGTCTGCTGACGACATTCCCAAATGTGGATGCACCACTGGCCGTGCCTCCAATAGCTCTGCATTTATTACCAATGAGAATGGCCCCTACCGTACCCATGCAGGGTTTCCCTCTCGTCAGTGCAGGCTGCTGGCTGCAGAGGGGCACAGCCAGCTGGCCTGTCACCACTGGGGTGGCGTGGGGGCCTAAGTGAACATAGTTCAATCTCCTGCTTTCAGTGAATATGTGCCCACTCTCTGAAAAGGACTTAGATGACCAAGCACTGTTCTCCTAATCTCTGCCTTGTTATTTTGGCCTTCAGGGCAACCTGCTCTGAATCAGAACAGCGATAAACATTTCATATTCTGGCAATCTCTGCCACATTAAAAGCATAAGTTACTTTGCTGTGTTTAAACCTTAGCAGCATTCACTGTGATCATGAAGGAAAGAGATGTCAAGCGCAATGTTGCATGGAGTCTGGACGGCTTCCGGCTACTTTGTATTGTGAGACTGTTACAGAACATTGCGGGTATTGAGTTCTACATGGCCTTCACGCTACATTTTATCTGAGACACACTGCTAAATCTGTACTTTTTCATGTGGCAAAGTCAGCACAAGGTGATTCTATTACATTCAAGTTACACAATGAATGTGTGCTTTGAATCCCTTGTCACTCTTCAGGGCTGATGTTTGTTATGCCAGCAAAAACCATTTTTCTCTCTGCTTAGAACTGTTGTTGCAGTTTTGACAATAGAAGCACGTTTAAAAAAAAGATGCATATTTCTTTTTTATATCCAAAAGCAATATGTTGCAGCTGTAGTTTCTAGCAGGAGCTATGTTTCTGCATACATCACTGACCTGGGTATGCTTCCTCTCTGGAAACAGCAACTCATGCAGAAATGCAACAGGCAACATCCTCTAAGACTGGGAAATGTTGTGTGGTGCAGAAATTACTACTTGTCAAAAAGGCTGATCCCAAGGAGGGAAGGCCAAAGCCTTCAATCATGCAGAGACACAGCAGGCCATCTCTGTGTGGAATGGTATTTTGGGATTATAGCAGCAGTATTTTCATGGCGCACTCATGTTCTCTGGTGCTAGGTTGAAGAATTGTTGGTTCACATTTATTATGTTGTAGACTGGAACCATCTGGAGATCATCTGCCCTAACCAAAATGCTTTATACTAAGTTTAGACTATCTAAGCACCCATTAGCTCATGGCTTTCAAATTGCAGTACTGTGTTGAAAGCAAAAAAAAAAAAAAAAAAGGTGTCAGAGGTGCCTGGAGACCAAAAAATATTGTACACATCCCAGGAAACTACTGTTATTGGGAGGCAAATTCAGTGGAATGAAAATGTATGTAAACAGCCATGTGCAATTGTAAGCATTGCATATGGATTACTGGATTATGTTGAATATCATCATAATCCAGTAAAATACAAACATGGAACCATAAATGCTTTTTGTCTCTTCAACATGGAATGGCATTTCTGATTATCTGGAATTGTCTTTTGATTTATTTGGGGCATAATCAAGCCAAGTATGAGCTTAAACATACCTACTAGGATGCAAAGTTCCATGGTCCTTCATGAAACTTTTTAAAAATAAATATGTTTGTGGTTGGGCTGTCCATGCTGCCAAAACTTTGTTTTGTCTGGTTCATTCCCCTCATTAGCTTCAGTCCAATGCTTTATCAAACAATATCCCACATTTTCTGAAAGGAAAAAACATCCATGGGGAAGACCCTCTCTGCACGCTTCTTGGTAAACTTGAGGCAAGCTCTAGCTTCTGGAAAAGTTCCTGTGACTGACATAACCATGCAATAAGGAGGACTGCTTCCTTCCCCTTCCCCTTGCCTCCCTCCCCAAGAAGCAGTCCTGACTTGTGGAATGCCCCGAGCTCTCAAATTCAGATAGTCAGGTGAGCCCTGCAAGTGCTACGCATGCCTCTGCCCTGGTTTTCTCTGTAGGTCCTGGTTGCTGAGCAGAGACATGTTTTGTTTGTTTTGCTTTTTTTAATCAGGTAGGAAAGCTGTTCTGGTTGGAGTCCAAGCCCTGTCGTAACAGTAAAGAATTAAGCCACAATTGCATCAGACAGGTTGGGTGAAAAAACAAATAATTAACACCACCCAGGAAGTAAATGTATTTCAGTGCACCAAGAAAGGAAATGGAGAAAACAGAGTGTGGTATTTGTTTAACAGTCTGAGCCGCAACACTACACTTGGGGATGAGGGTTTATTTTTCAGAATCTGATTTTGGTGCCAGCCACAGAAACGTTTTCCTCCTGCCGAAAGGAAATGTCAACTGCAGTAAAGTCCAAAGAGCATGTAGGCAGCAGCAGGAGAGGTGTAATCAGGCAAGCCTCTGGTTCTGTGCTAGCAATTTGCACTCCCTGGGACCATGAATGGCTGGTTTTGGCCTGTAATGCAAAACTGTTGCTGTATGAGAGCCAGCAAAACACTCAGAGTTTAACCTGCCGGCAGTTTGGTCAGATGCAGAGTGTATGGCTCCTAAGCTTCCACAGTTCTGGTATAGAGAGAATCTTAGCATGTGCTTGCCACATGAGCAATGTTGCTGAAATGTCAGCTTAAAGTGGCTGGTGCCCTTTCTTTTTTTCCTTCAGGCCACACGATCCCATGTGCTGAAACAATTAAGACAGCAATTTGAAAGTCCCCAGGTTACAACTGTAGCTACTCCAGATGTGTAGCTACACTGAGCATTTTGGAGAACACTGGAACTGGTATCACCCATCTCTTTAAGCATCACTTTTTATGCTTTGCTTTAGAGGGACACGCTCTACAGAAATCCAAAATGCTGCAACGTCCAGAAAACCGTCTTTAAGGGCAAAAATACATTTCCCAATATTTCAAAAGTTCCTTTTCGACCAAAATCAAGCACTCTGTTGAGACATATTTACTGAAAAATAAGCCCCATTGAGTTCAGCAAGACTTACTCCTAGCTGAGCACTGGATTGCAGCCTTAGCTATTTTAAAATGTTATTTTCGTCAGGTATTAAAACATTCTCCCCCTCCTCTCAGGTCAGAAGACAATTGTTTTCGAAAAGGCAGGAGCTTTCCCACCTAGTCAGTACTAATTAACATTTATGTGAGATTGCAGAATAGTGATAGTTTGGAAGCTGTGCCGTGAATGCAAGACATCAATGCTCACCACCCCCGCTGAAGAACAATTTGGGTCTGGGGTCAGGGTCTCCTCTTCCCTTCTCATTCCCTTTTTCTTGTGTGTCACATCTGCTTAGATTGTAATGCTGCAGGTGGGCACAGTCCTGGTTCACTGATCAGCTGTAGGGTGCTCTAGAAGCAGTTTTGGCTGACAAGCAGGATAAAAATAAGTAACAGTTTTGCTTCCTTTAAAATTAGGATCGAACATTTAAAGTGCTTATCACTTGAGCCGCAACACCAGAGTGGATTTACTGTGAATTCATATGAATGTGCCCACAGGGACTTGAGGTATCTGTACCAAACTTCTTGTACCAAATCAGAGTCATCTCCAAGTTATTTCAGTTCTACCCAGCATCCTAAAATCACTGGCCGTGGTTCATAAACTCTTCTGCACCAAGTTGAACCCCTGTATAATCAGCACAGGACACACTGCACCTTAGGATTTAGGATACCAGTGGAACAGACTCTCAGCATATAAATGTACACCCTTTCCAATAAATGGAAGACTAATAAAACAAATGGAAGGAAGAGATGGCAACAAAACAAACACCATCTCACCATCCCTTAACAAGCTTCTCGCACAGCTTTCTGGCCTTTGAAACTCCCTAAGCAAGACTTGTTCTAACAATGAAGTACTGAACTATAATGCAGAACTGCAAAGACTTGGAGCACATTCTCATACAGATTTTCTTGACCTTTTCCATAAACATTTTAATTGTTTAGTGCACATGGAGGCCTTCTGACTGCTGTTGTTTCATTGGCCCTGTCAGCTTTCTGGCTGGTTTGCAGCCAAACAACATATAATATTAAACATAGTGTCTTGAGTGTGTCAACTTTTAAAAAGTATAAACAGCAGCTGGCACTTCAACAATAGCTAATGGCTCACAAAATGTTTGCAATCCCAGAAAGGGCTTGCTTAGGAACATGGGAACAGCAGAAACTGCATTATACTGAGCTACTTTGGTCCATCTAGGCCAGTATTCTCATCACTGACAGGCGGCAGCACTCCAGGGTTTCAGGATTTGTTTCTTTGCCCCACCTGGAGACCTCAGGGACTGAACCTGGGACCATCTATATGCAAAGCAGGTACTTTATCATGTCAAGTCACAGCCCTTCCCCTCCTGTTCCAGGAAGGGAAAGACTGGCCCCCATGAGCCAAAGTAAAGCAGAAATTATAAGCTTGTAGAAACAGACTCACATCCCACTGCACAGATGCCCTTCTGCTTAGAGTTGTATTAATGATTATGTCCCATTTATGAGAGCAAGAGGCAGAAAAATGCAAAGTAGCTTGCATCATTCAGCAGTCTGCAGAGCGAAAGGGTAAAGGTGCATAGGGGAAAAATCCTTTACCTCTTTGCCACAGGCTAGTGCGTGCAGATAGTGAGGAGGCAGGTGTATATTCCAGAACACTGAACAGGCCTGAACTTCCTTTAGTGGGTGCAGAACGGCCTTCCCCAACTTGGTGTGCCCCAGATGTTTTGCACTGCAGTTCCCAGCATTCCTGATCAATGGCCATATGGACTGACACTAATGAGAAACACACACGGAGGATGCTTTGTTGGGGAAGCTTGGTGTAGAAGCAGCAGCAGCCATAGCTACTGAGCTGACATACCACTTTCTCAGTAGCAAAGTGGTAGAGAACAAGTTTAGCATGTCAGAGTATCTAGGCTCAATCTCCGGGGAGAGCTGGGGGAAAAAATCCTGCCCAAAACACTAGAGAGTCGTTTCCAGGCACTGCAGACAGTACTGGGATAGAGGGCCCAGTGGCCAACCAACTGCTCAACTGGAAACCCACAAGCAGGGCAAGAGTGTAACAGCACCCCCCAGTCCATGTTCCCCAGCAACTGGTGTACCTAGATGTACTGCCTCTAATACTGAAAGAGGCCCTCAGCCATCAGGAGTAGTAACCAATGAGAGCTGGCCTTCTCCATAAATATCCTGCGTTTCAGCCTAATTACCAATGGAAGTTCATCAAGCTTGTTCCAATTGGCCATCCAGTCAAGTAAGCACCATTTATCCCTGTGAAAGCAAGTGCAGTACAGACCACACGCTATCTTGGAGGCAGGACTGCAGACAGGAAATGCTTTTTCTTGGCCATGGGAGAATAGAAAGTGGGGTGGTTGATAAAGATGAATCTGAAGTTAGCTGCTAAATTGTACAATGGGCATGAAAATCTAGAGAAATCAAAGGCAACTGCCACATCCCAGACAAGCCACAGACACTGGCAAGTTCATTCCATGTCCAGGGAATGACGCTGCAGTGCCAGCATCAGGTTGAGGGCTCTGAAGGGCCCTCCTTCCTCCACGAGTCCACTTGCTCCTGCTTCCATTTCTCATCCTTGCAACCACGGCTTTCTTGGCAAGTGGAAAGCCAGTCATCAGCACCTCCAGAGGAGAAGGCATGTGAACAAACAGCTCACAGTGAAGAAGAGCAGAAACAATGCTGGTGCTGTTGTATGTGAGCCCCCGTTAAGGCAGTGGGCCCTTGGAAAGTGCCCAACCATTCCTATCCTTAGTGTCCTAGGCTGTGGCCTGGTTGCCACTGCCATCTTTCTCTTTTCTCCTTGAATGCCATGTACGTGTCATATGACTCAACATACAACTGGGAGATCAGAATAATTCTAGTTCCCTCATTCTGCATCGGCACTAACCTAAGCTACAAGTGACACATCCCCTGGAAAGCAGATACTGGAAGGGAGCAAAGACTGCTTTTTAAAGCAATTTGCAATTGTTCTCTGCATAGAACAGACACCACAGACTTTGATACTCCAAATTATTAAAACTGGTTAGTTTCCAGCCCTGGAAGTATGCACTAAAGCAGTATAAAACAAAACTCTGAGCTCATTTTACTACTCAGAGGGGGCATCGGGGAAAAACTACAGTCTTGAACACACCTATCTGGAGTAAACTCAGCAAGACTTATTTCTGAGTAGACCTGTCGAGAGTTACTTTGAGCGATGATTTTATGCACCGTGATAACGAGAGCGTGGCTGTTACTGGAAAACAGTAAAACGTGTTACCGGGAACCTATCTGGGCAAAATGACCTTTGATTTTGACTCCTCACTTCCTTAAAAAGGAAAAGAAAAAAACATGCACGGCTGGGTTCATTCCTGCATTTATTCCCGTGGTTCTCCGTGGCGATTCTGTTGGGCAATTTCCCGACTTCCTTCCAGCACACGCTTACATGTTGGCTTTCCCTTTCCAGAGATCCTCGGCACGCAACGGGGGACTTTCCGACGCCGCTCGAACTGGCCGGACAGGGAGAAGTGACAGCCGTGCCGGGCAACGGGGAGGGGGGCGCGGGCGACCGCTCGCCCGGCCGCGACCTGGGCTGGCTGCTCCGCTCCCGGGGCGTGCCTCGCTTGCCCCGTTACGGGAAGAAGTTGCCCTGAAGTTCACGCCGGCCGCCGAAATGGGGCCGATCCCGCAAGCGGGCGGGCGGGCGCGCACGGCCGGTCCCCGGACGCCGCCAGGCGAGGTCAGGCGTGTCTTCCGCAAGCGGAGGACCTGCCGCAGGCGAGGCGCTCGTGGGCAGGCGGGAGCCAGGGAGACCAAGGCGGGGGAAGAGGCTGGCGCCGGGCTGACGGGCGGCAGCGTAGCGGCACTCTCCTTACCTCCGCGGGACGATCTGCGCCGCAGGCTGTTTCGGAAGAAGTGCACGATCCTCTCGCCGGCCATGCCGCTCGCCCGTGTTTGCGGCCGGCCTGCCGGCCAGCGAGCGGGCTGCCTCTCCGGCGGGCACTCGCGCCTTCCGCTGCCGCGGTCCCACTTTCGCTTTCGGCAGCTCTCGGCGCGGGCAGAAGAGCGGAGCACACCTGGCAGAGAAAGGGGCAGTGCGGCGCCTGCTGGAGGAGTGCGGGAGGCCGGACGCTGCACCTGGGGCGGCAGGAGGAGCCGGAGAGCGGCGCGGGGCGGGGCGCGGAGCAGCAGCCCCTGGAGGTGGCGGCCGGGACACCTGAAGGAGCCGCCTCCGCCCGCCCGCCCGCCGCGGGTGGCATCGCCGGCGCTTGCGTGCCAGCCGCGGCGCCTCTCGGAGCCGCCGGACAAAGGCGCGCCGGCAGCTGCGCAGGTGCGCGCGCTTGCCCCTTTCTTGCCCGGCCTGCGCACAGGGACTTTAGAAGAGAACATTGCCCGCGGTTCGGGGTTGTTTCTACATCTTTTTAAAGGCAAGCATAACTTAAAGCCAACTAGGCGTATAAGGGTAGGATCGAAAACTGTAGCAATGTCACAGTAAGCGTTCCAAGATTTCCTAAATGTAAGGCAGAGCTCACACAACAGCCCACGCACGCGATCAGGGTCCGCAACCCTAAAAGCTTGCCAATTTCTCGCAATCGCCTGGGAGTAAGCGCCTCAGGGAAAGCTGGCTTACTCTGAGTCAGATCACCGGGTCCACTGAAGCCGGTATGGGCAGTGCTGACTGGCATCAGTGGCTCTCCAGATTCTTTCCCGGTCCTGTCTGGAGATGCCAAGTATCTGGGCTAGAGCATAGCATTTGGGCCCTCAGTGGGATTTACTTGTAGGTAAGCACATAAAGGCAGGTCCTGAGAAATGCATGATTGTATGGGGCATTCCTATGAAATCAGCACATTGCATTTGCTGTGGCTCTGAGTGTTTACAATATCCCTGTAGTTTTCCACTGTGGTATGAAAATCAGTCCACAGTCATTAACCTTACGAGTAGCTTTCCAGAAAGAAGACTGTTAAAGGATTCCAGCTTCTTACAAGAAGATAGTCTCATAACCTGTGTTTGAGATAGGATTAGTCTAGAAAGCCTCTTGTCTAACTAAGGTTTTATGTCCACAGTGGGCAGACATCAGATTTGCTTTTTGACCAGAACTGTGACATCCGCCAGAAGGAAATAGGTGCAAAACAGTGGCTTAGGAGGGCAGACGTCTGCTAAGAATTAAGGAAAAGAGAGTGTGCTTAGCACAGGAATTTGTGATCACGACCAGAAGTAAGTACCAGAATCATGTCCTTCCACACACAGAAATTGCAACCTTATTTCCTAAGGTTTCTTTTTCAGTACCTTATTTGGGGGGCAAGGTTGGCCAGGGGAGCTTTTTAATTATGAGACAATTGGAGGTCAAAAATTCTTGCCTATCCAATATAAGTTACCAAATCTAAAAGTAGATCTAAAGCTACCTTCTGTATCTCTGCATTATGTCGTATCTCTAATTACATGCTGATAATCAAGGCAATATATTAATCTCTCTGTGTGTGGGGGGGTAAATTGTTGATTAGGCCCTTAATGTAGTCCTTTGGGTGAATATTTAACATGTTAATTCCAATATTTTGATGATACTGTAATTTTAAAACTAATGTTTAAAATGTGGATGTTGTGTGTGGTTTTTTTTTGTTTTTGTTTTTTTTGCCTCTTGGTTTTTTAAAGCATATGTACAGGTAAGCCAGTTCAGAGGGCCATACATGTGACTGGAAAGCAGCATGTAAATACAGATATAAACAACGGTGGTGCTTTCCCAAACTTTACCATGCTGGATTTAGACTGTGGCACTAAAACATCCATATATCCAGGAGAAAATGCTGCTCTAGGCTTGATCTAACCACTGCAGATTTCACATTATTGACAGAAAGAAGCAAAAACTGCTTCGAACTACATGTGTTGACTGACGACCCCTTGTCCCATCCCTTTGCCTTCCCCTTGAGTGGGAATGCTACCAGGATCAATAGATATTAATGCATAAAACTGAGCTGCCTTACCAAGTTGCCTTACTGCTGGTCCATCTCATCCACTGTTGCCCTCACAGACTCACAGTGATTTTTCAGGGTTTCAGGCAAGATGTTTTTCTAGCCCTACCTGGAGATGCTGCTGATTGAACCTGGGACTTTCTGCATGCATACCTGGGAAAGTGCCCCCATTTCCTGATATACACCAGTATATCACCAAGATCATAGGAGGAGGTCTTGCTGACTGTACCATAACCTACAGTTTGCCATCTTGAGGCAACACAGAGGAGAACCATCTCCATAGTGATGCCCACATCATGAAATGCCCTCTTCCTGGTACTTGGGAGGTTGTGCCGTATTTCAGGTGCCAATTAATGACCCATCTCTTTACTCAGATCTTCATGGATTGGTTAGGTTGCTCACTTTATTTGTTCATTACAGTGTTTTGCATATTTCATTTTAATGTTGTCATTATATATATGAGATTATGCATTTTCATGTAGTTTATTTATTTATTTTGTAAACTGCTTTTTTTTAGAGATGATAAGCTAAATTTAAATCTATTAAATAAGTAAATCCAAAACCCTGGACTGCAAGCATTCCATGGTGCTATGTTAAAAAACAATTTTATGTGATAACAGTGTTATGTATCTTTGAACAAAAATGAAACACACACAAGCAAGGTTTCCTATGTTGTTCCACAGTAAGAAAAGGGTCCTTTTTGTGTTAAGCCGTCCAACTGAACAAAATTCGAAGTACTAACGGAGCTAACGTTTTCAGCTTGAAGAACTGTTCTGAAAGCTCTTTCAGCGGAGACAATGAGGGCTGCCTGCAGCATGAAAGAAGAGCAGTCCTTGCTCACAGAATATGTCTTGTGCGCATTGGGCTAGCAGCCAAAACAGCAACAGAATGTACGACAAGGTCACTTTCCCTGCTGATGTTCACAAGAAACCATTAGAGGGGAGCTATACCTCTGGAACCAATTAACAGAAACTGGGGAATTGTTTTCTGTAAACGCTGTACTCTCCAGGGGAAGTGGCTTTGCTTTCTCAATGTATAAAGGCACGCTACTATGCAAGTTTAGCTGGCTGGGGCATGAGGGACTTGCAGGCTCTTGCTTTGTCTAAACTCACATAGGACTGCATCCTAAATGGATAGATACTTCTGTCAGCTTTGGAACCCCTCAAAACCTTGAGACAGTGAGTAGTCCTTTTAATTTAACATAACATCACCCTACCTCGTTCTTTTTCCAGTTTGCAAAAAGGCATCTGGGGGAGACAGAAAACATATAAAAAGCTTTTCTGCTGTGATGAGGATCTTTTTTGGCCTTGCTGCAAAGCACTGCATGTGGCATAGAACCAACAGTGCTGTAAAAAAGCACCATCTCCAGGTGCTCCAGCATCCTGTTGGCAAGATGCTTTTCTCAGCATGGACCGGGAAACTGGTCAGAACTAGGGGCCAAAAACAGGACAGTTCTGGAGGAAAACCTGTATTGGTCTGCATGTGACTTGGGACTGGGATGGAGGTTCAACTTCCAGCAGGACAATGCCCTGACCACACACTGGAGTGGTTTAAAAACAAGGACTGAAATGTCTTCGAATAGCCCAGTCAAAGCTCAGACCTCAGTCCAGTGGAACATCTGTGACAAGGGTTGAAAGTTGCTGTTCACCAACAGTCCCCATCCAGCCTGGCAGAGCTCAAGCAGTCCTGCCAGGAAGAATTAGCAAACGTTGCAAGATCCAGATGAGAAAAGCTGATAGTCTCACAGACTCATGGCTATAATTGCTGTCAAAGGAGCTTCTACCAAGTATTGACTTGTGGGGTGAATACTTGTGTGGCTAACAAATGCCAGTTTGTTTCTGCTTAACTTTTGTGCCACAATAAAATATTTTGCACCGTCAAATCTTGAGTCTTTACAATGCCAGGATGTAACACAGCAAAGTGTGGAAAAGTCAAAGGGGGTATGTGAATACTTCTGCAAGGCTCTGTTCCTTGAAGGGTCACACAGCAAGGACAATCCAGCACTACTGCAGCTGAAGTCAGGTAGATCGTGTGACAGCAACCCCATCAGGTCTCATGCTAGGCTGAAATACAAGTTCGGTGGCTCAGGAATGCTGCCTCAAATTAATCCTGCAGTCTGATGCAGGTCACGTGTCATGATAAAAGTTCCAGTTAGCTTCTCATGTGCTTTCAGTGAGCAACAAACTCTACAAGAGGGGCATGTTACTAAAATTTAGCAAATTTGCAAGTTTGAAAAGTTTGAACAGAGAAAATTTGTGGAATTGAACTTCCATATTATTTTGTGATTTTTAGTGGCTTCCAGCTGCTTTCTAACCCATTTCAAGCGTTATTCATACATTCAGTACCGGCTGGGACCAAAAACGTGAAAGAGCTCTCTAGAATATGTGGACTAACCATGCCACCTGGATTCCCATGTGTGTATTGGCTATGTACCCAGGTATGCACATGTAGCACCTCTTCAGAGTGGCCAATACACACACACCTACTGGCATCTGTGAGGTGAGGCCAGTTTGCACATGCTAGACAGAGGAAGGCAACCTGTGCCCTTCAGCTGTTTTGAACTACAGTTTCCCTAAGCCCTAGCAAGCATGGCCAGTGGCCAGGGATTGTAGGAACTGCAGTCCAAAACATCTGGAAGGTACCAGGTTGCTTACCCCTGTCCTAGTGAAGGTTGTCATATGCTTAGCATCCACAGGTGCTAAGAGCACCTGTCCACTCCCTGTAGCAAGTGTGTGAAGGTGGATCGATCTTTAAAGCTTTACATGTTTGGGACCAGGAGGATATTGAAAGAACCATTAAATGTCATGAGTACTGGAATGTAGAATTAATAAAGAGAGAAGGACTTGTGGTACTAAGAACCCTGGTAAAATGTAAAAAGCAGAATTTATTGGATAAAACCTTTTTCACCACTAGGGGTCAGGGTAGCAACAAAGAAAAGACATAGGTGGAGGCAAAGGTGTTCTCGGGGCTGATAGCCCTGGGGCCACGAAGCATTAAAATCAGGATAGTAAAAACAAACTTGACCATCCTTGTGACAGGACTATAACAGACATAGATTCCTTCAATGTGCCAGTAGCATGTGACATTTTAACGACATACAGCATTGCTTTTGAAACAGCATCTGAGTGGGACA